CCCATGAGACTCTTATCTCCAACAAACCACTCGAAAACTGGAAGTGGCATTGTGGCTCAAGTGGTAGAGTGCTCGCCTTGAGCTGAAGAGCGCAAGACCAGCACCCAAGCCCAGAGTTCAAGCCCCATGACTGACCAAAAAAAAAAAAAAAAACAACTTAAACCCATCACCTGTAAAACTAAGAAGTTGATGCTGAAGGATGTGGCGCAAGTAGTGAAGTGCCTGCCTAACAGGCAATAATCTCAATAATGACAAAAGGGGGGAAAAAAGGATAGAAAACTAAGATGTTAATAATACAGTTGAATTGTATTTCTCTGGGTTTTCCTATCTTCTTACATCCTCTCACCCCAAAATGTGATTATTGTTTTTCTTTGTTTTTACCATAGAAGCAAAAGTATGGCTTTTCATTTTCTTAACCTTTTTACATGTTTGTATACACTTGAGTAGTCTTCCATTTTTTTTCTTTCATTAAAGTTTTTGAAGATGTATGTGTGTAATGGAAGTGGAGCTGTGGCTCAAGTGCTAGAACACTGGCCTTGAGCAAAAAGCACAGGGACAGTGTGCCTTAAAACTGGCACAAAAAGAGAGAGAGGAAAAAGTTTGTGAATATCTAAGATACAACCTGTATTGATTGATTAAAGTTTATAGGTAATTGATTTACTACTACTCCTCCACCCCCACTTTTACTCCAGAGACATTATTGGGGGATAAAATATATGTCAGGAATTGTGTAGCCTATTAAGAATACTTAGGGAGACAGGTGCCGGTGGCTCACACCTGTAATCTTAGCTACTCAGGAGGCTGAGATTTGAGGATTGAGGTTCAGAGCCAGCCTGAGTAGGAAAGTCCGTGAGACTCTTATCTCCAGTTAACCACCCGAAAACTAGAAGTGGCCCTGTGGCTCAAGTGGTAGAGTGCTACTCTTTAGCAAAAAGAGGCTTTAGGGACAGTACCCGGGCTCAGAATTCCAGCCCACTACCGTCGAAAACAAAAAGAAAAAAGAAAAAAAAGAAAAGAGAAAAGAATACTTAGGGAAACGTTGCTGAAAAATCAGTCAAATGGAAAGGTTGTTATTTAGGGAAATGTCTATAAATTCTGTTGTCTGTAGAGGAATCAGAAGTAAGGTACTCCACAAAAATATAAATTAAATAAGTAATTATTAGGGTTCCTCCCCTCGGCTCCTCTTTGTTAGGGACCAAACCCAGGTCCTTGCTCATGCCTATCATTTACTACTGTGGTAACCCTAGTAATTTCCAGCCCTAGATTACTCCCTTCCTTCCTTCCTTCCTTCCTTCCTGTCTGTCTGTCTGTCTGTCTGTCTCTGCTGGTCCTGAGGCTTGGACACAGCCTGGACACTGTCCCTGAGCTTTTGTGCTTAAGGCTAAAACTACCAATTGAACAGCTCCGCTTCTAACTTGTTGGTTAATAGGAAATAAGAGTTACAAGGACTTTCCCACTGGCCTGGCTTCAAATTGTGATTCTCAGGTCTGAACCTCCTGAAAAGCTATGATTACAGGTATGAGCCACTAGCAGCTGGCTAATAACATACTTTTAAACATATTTCTGTTTGGAAATTTAGAACTTTATCATTGGAATAATGATTTGTCGAGTACTTAATGGAGCTATAAATTAGCTAATAATGCTAGCTTTTTAGGTAAAAAATGATTTAGGTTTTTGGCGTCTGGAGATTTTTTATTTTTATTTTTGGATAGTGTGAACAGTATTGGTGTTTGAACTTAGAATCTTGCTTTTTTGCTCATGGCTGGTCCTCTACTACTTTTTTTTTTTTTTTGGTACAGGTCTGAGGGCTTGAATTCAGGGTCTGGGCGCTGTCCTGAGCTGCTTTTGCTCAAGGCTAGCACTCTACTACTTGAGCCACAGCTCCACTCCAGCTTTTTCTATGACTTGGACTTTCCTGCTTCAGATAGCTTTGAACTGAGATCTTCAGATCTCAGGCTCCTGAATAGCTAGGATTACAGTGTGAGCCACTAGCAGCCTGCTGGCCCTCTGCTTCTGGAGTTACACCTCTAGCCTGGCTTTGTTCTAGCCTGGCTTTGTTCTACTTATTTTGAGATGAAATCTCAAAGACTTTTCTGCTCAGACTGGCTTCAAGTTTTAGGTCTCAGATCCTCAGATCACTGCCTCCTGTATAGTTAGGGTTACAGGCATGAGCCACTGGTGCTTGGCTAGAAGATTTTTTTCTTTCAGTGTAACTTTTTTGGGGTGTTTTGCCATCGTAAGTGAAAAAGTGATTGACATCTTTCTAGTTAAATGATACATGAAAAGTTAATGGGAACCATATTGAGAGATTTGTGGTTGGAAAAAATTATAGTTTCATTTTTAAAAAACTTAGTATTCATTGAAGACTATGGATTAAAAGTTCCTTTAATTTATTTCATTGGTAATCATACTGTAACGGTCTTTTCTTCCTTTTTTTTTTTTTTTTTTTTTGTCAGTCAAGGGCTTGAACTCTGGGCCAGGGTCACAGCACCACTTCTGGTTTTCTGGTAGTTAATTGGAGATAAGAGTCTCACGGATTTTCCTGCTCTGGCTGTCTTTGAACCATGATCCTCAGATCTCAGCCTCTTGAGTAGCTAGGATTATAGGCATTAGCCACTGGGGCCCAGCTTTTTTCTTCCTTTCTAATGTGAACTTTTTTTTTTTTTTACTGAGAGTTAACAATAATAACATTAATGCATTATCTGTGTAACTGCAATTTGTATGTGCTTTAATCACAGTTTTATTTTTATAGGATTTCTATAATTGGCCTGATGAATCGTTTGATGAAATGGATAGTACACTTGCTGTTCAGCAGGTAATGAAAAGTTTTTTAAAAAAGTAATTCCATTAATCTAAACATTGTACCTCTTTGGCATACTTAAGTATTGCTAGATTTTTCAGTATTCCACTGAGTTAATGAAATGCTCCTTAAACCTTAATCAAGACTTTTTTTTTTTTTTTTTTTTGGTCACGGGGCTTGAACTCTGTGCCTAGGTGCTGTCCCTCAGCTCTTCAGCTCAAGGCGAGTGCTCTACCACTTGAGCCATAGCGCCACTTCCGGTTTTCTGGTGGTTTATTGGAGAGAGGAGTCTCATAGACTTTCCTGCCCGGGCTGGCTTTGAACTCCATCCTCAGATCTCACCCTCCTGAGTAGCTAGGATTACAGGCGTAAGCCACCAGTGCCCGGCTCAAGACTTTTTTTTTAAACTCATGGCTTCTAGCTTATTAGGCAGGCCTTTTAACACTTTAGCAACACCCTTTATTCCATTTCATTGTGCTTTAAGATAATGTTTAAAGCTTAGTCATACTTAAATACATTGTATTTTATTTTATTTTTTTGTCAGGGCCTAAACTCTGGGCCTGGGCGCTGTCCCTCAGCTCTTCAGCTCAAGGCTAGTGCTCTACCCTTTGAGCCACAGTGCCACTTCCGGCTTTATCTGCTTATGTGGTACTGAGTAATCAAACCCAGGGCCTCATGCATACCAGGCAAGCACTTTACCACTGAGCCACCTTCCCAGCCCTTATTCTATTTTTCTTATTAGCATACTTTAGCTGTACAAGGATTTCCTTGTGACATTTCCATGCATGTGTACAATAGAGTATATTCTAGTCAGTCTCCTCACACACATCACTCTCTACCTCTTATTCGACTTGATACAATTTCAAGATGTTTCATTGTTCTAGTTATACTAGCTAATAATTTTTTAAAATTTTCATTATTATTATTTTTGCCAGTCCTGGGGCTTTAACTCAGGGCCTGGCCACTGTCCCTGAGCTTCTTTTGTTCAAGGCTAGAATTCTACCACTTGAGCCACAGCGCCACTTCTGGCTTTTTCAGTGTATGTGGTACCAAGGAATGGCCAGGACTTCATGCAAGCACTCTGCCTCTAAGCCACCTTTCTGGCCCCTTACTAGATTTCAATTTGCAATTAGTGTAGAATGATGAGTAATAAATAGGAATAGTATACTCATTTGATGACTAAACCCTGATAACTTGTTTCTCACATTTACATTTTAATTATCAGTAGTTCTTAACTATTTGCCTCTAATCTATGTAAATGCTAAAATACTTTGAAGTTAGCTAACTATTGATAGTAGTCTTCTGTAACAAGTTTGGTTCAAAAAGCCTCTTAGACATTCTTTTGTATGAAGAGGAGCTATGACTCAAGATGGTAGAGTGCTAAGCCTTGAGCAGAAGGACTCAAACAGCAGCCAGGCCCTGAATACAAGCCCCACAATGGACAAAAAAAAAAAAAAAAATTACTTAATAAGTCTGGTACTGCTGTTGATGCCTGTAATCCTAGCTACTCTGGAAGCTGAGATCTGAGGATTGAGGTTTAAAACCAGTTCAGGCAGACAAATCTAAGAGACTTTTCTTTCTAGTTAAACAGTGAAAAAGTAGGAGTGGAAGTATGACCGGAGTGATTGAATGCCAGCCTTTAATGAGAAAGCTACGTGAGAGTTTGAGGACTTGAGTCAAGCCCCAGTACTGGCCCTAAAAACAAAAAACTACAGGTGATGCTGGCTCCTGAATCCTCCTCCTTCAGCCTCCTGAGTAGTAGGGTTTCAGGTGTCTGTCACCCTGCCCAGTTTGTTTATTAAAAAACAACAAACTTTTATTAGATTAGTATCCCATATAAGCATTCATTTAAAATGTGTAAATCAGGGGCTGGAAATATGTCTTAGTGGTAGAGTGCTTGCCTAGCATGCATGAAGCCCTGGGTTCAATTCTTTAGTACCACATAAACAGAAAAGCTGGAAATGATACTGTGGCTCAAGTTGTAGAGTGCTAACCTTGAGCAAAAAAGTGCCCAGACCCCGAGTTCAAGCCCCAAGACTGGTACTAAAATGTGTAAATCAGTGATTCTCTTCTGAGTTCACCATAATCTAATTGTATAACTTCTCATTCACCCATCTTCCTTAGTAGTCATCTTTCCTCTATTCTGCCTTTCTTCTCCCCAAGGTTAAGCAACTACTAATCTGTTTTCTATCTTTAGGTTTGTTTATTCTTGACACTTCATATAAGCAGAATCATCTAATGGGGGCATAATTACATTTACATAGTATGCATTTTATGTTCATGTGACAATTTTGAATTACAGTTTGGATTCCAGTTTTAATCTTGCCAAATACTCTACAATGTTGTTGAATGGAGATAGATAAGGGTTACCACTCTTCTTCTTACCTACTTGTTATGATTCTAAATTTGGTTTTCTTTTTAGTATGTAATCCAAAAGTTGAACCATAAGAGCCATTACATATTCAAAAGTTATATATATTTAACATGGTTTATTATATAATATTTTAACCTTAAGAACTTCTTTGTTTATAGTATATTCAACAGAACATAAGGGCAGATTGCTCTAATATTGACAAAATTCTTGAACCACCTGAAGGCCAAGATGAAGGTGTATGGAAATATGAACACTTAAGGTATGTCTTTATGATATGTCAGATAGTAAGGGCATAAGTAAAAATATGCTTTACTAATGATAATTACCAATCAAATAAAACTTTATGTGACTAAAGATAAAAAGCCAAATTTTAAAGCTTTTGTGTCTTTTTTGGGGGCAGTTGTGGGGCTTAAACTCAGGATCTGTATGCTGTACTTGAGCTCTTTTGCTCAAGGCTAGGCACTCTACTACTTTGAGTCACAGCTCTACTATCAGTTTTTGAGTGGATAATTGGAGGTTAGAGTCTCATGGGAACTCTTGTGCCCAGGATGGCTTCCAACCTCAATTCTCAGATCATAGCCTCCTGAGTAGCTAGGATTGCAGGCATGAGTCACTGGCTCCTGGCTTTTGTGTCTTTTTTAAATTTCTTTTTCAGTACTAGGGATTGAACCCAGGTCCTTGAACATGGTAGGCAAACATAGTATCACTTGAGCTATATTCCCAGTTTAGTTTCTGAAATGGGATCATTTTTTTTTTTTTTGGTTGGTCATAGGGCTTGAACTCTGGGCTTGGGTGCTGTCCCTGTGCTCTTCAGCTCAAGGCAAGCGCTCAGCTCAAGCAGTAGTGGTTTATTGGAGATAAGAGTCTCATAGACTATTCTGCTCAGGCTGGTTTTGAACCTCGATCCTCAGATCTCAGCCTCCTGAGAAGCTAGGATTACAGGCATGAGCCACCGGTGCCTGGCTGGGATCTTCTTTACTTTGCTCAGACTCACCTCAAACTTAAGATCCTCCTGCCTTTTCCTCTGAAGTAGCTGAATTTTGTGTCTTAGAAAGATTTGTTTTCTATTAGCTGTTTTCACATCAACTTATACTGCAAAGTCAGTTGTCAGAAAGAGATTTGGGCTCTGTTAAATTTTTACATACTTATTTCTTATGTATGTATGTACATATGCATGCTTATACTGGGACTTAAACTCAGGGTCTCACATTGTCACTTGGCTTTTACACTTATGGCTGACACTGTATCACTGAGCAAATAGAACCGAACCATTGCTCTAGTTCTAATACTTTTTGTGTGTGTGTGCCTGTAGTGGGACTTGACCTCAGGGCTGGGTGCTGACCTTTTGCTCAAGGTTGGTGCTCTCCCATTTGAGCCACAGCTCCATTTCTGGCTATTTTTGGAGTAGTTAATTGGAGATAAGAGTCTCAAGGTTTGTCTTCTTGGGCTGGCTTCAAATTAGGATCTCAACTTTCTAAGTAGCTAGAATTACAGGCGTGAGCTCTTGGTGCCTGGCTTAGTCATGTCTCTAAATTGTGACTGTGATACTTCCATTTTCAATAACTTTATTTCTCATCTGAGGATCAAGCTCAAGAAAGAAAGTCTGTGAGACTCTTATCCCCACTTAACTACCAAAAAGCTGGAAGTGGTGATGTAGCTAAAGAGGCAAAGCACCAGCCTTGAGAGAAAAAGCTAAGGGGCAGTGCCCAGGTCCTCATTCAAGCACCAGGACACACACAAGAAAACAACTTTGTTTCTCAAAAAAATGAATAACTTTTATGTCTCTATAGATGACCATCTCTAGGTTTAGTAGCTGATAAATTACTTATGAGCAGTTATTTCTGATCTTTTAGTAAATATAGATTAATTATAATCTTAAAATAAGACATGTTTGTGCTTTTCATTATTATTATTCATTATTATTTCAGTCCTGGGGCTTGAACTCAGGGCCTGGGCACTGTCCCTGAGCTTCTTTTGCTCAAGGCTAATGCTCTACCACTTGAGCCATAGTGCCACTTTATGCATGGTAGGCAAGCACTCTACCACTAAAACACCTTCCCAGCTCTTATTATATCTTACTAATGAGAAAAATTACAAGACAGATAAGTAGATGGAACTAACTTTGTTGTTACTGTACTGGATTTGAACTCAGGGTCTTACACTTAATAGACGGATGCTCAACAACTTGAGTCAAGCCCTCAGCCCTCTTTGGTTTTAGTAAATTGCTGGAAGGATTTTTAGAGGAAACATGTATTTTGACTGTTATATTTTTAAAAAATGACTTAGCCAGCCACTGGTGGCTCTGTTCTATAATCCTAGCTATTCAAGAGTCTGAAATCTATACAAGAAACTTAGCTCCAGTTAACCAGCAAAAAGCTAGAAGTAGAGGTGTGACACAAGTGGTAGATTGTTAACCTTAAGTGAAAAAGCTAATCAAGAAAGAGCACAAGGCCTGGTGCTGGTGGCTCACACCTGTAATCCTACTTACTCAGACTAAGATCTGAGAATCACAGTTCAAAGCCAGCCTGGGCAAGAAAAATCTGAGACTTTTCAATCAACCACTAGAAAACTGGAAATGGCACTGTGACTCAAAGTGGTTGAATGCTAGCTTTGAGTAAAAAGCTGCTCAGAGGACAGTGTCTAGACCCTGAGTTCAAGCCCCACAACTGACCGAAAAAAAAAAAAAGCACAAAGTTTTGACTTCAAGCCCAGTTCCAGCATAAAAAATGTAAATCTAGGCTTTAAACCTTGAATTTTAGATCTCAGCCCTCTGAATAGTTAGCATTACAGGCATCAGGGCCCAGCGAGATTTCTTTCTACAGTTAATATCTTAAACTGAAGGTATCTTAAATACCTTAAACTTAGTATATGAAACTTAAAATATTAACTGTAGAAACAACAATTCGTGGCATAGTTTCAGGATTAATTGAACCCCTGAATTTGCAACTAGCTGGGCAGTGTAGCAAGACCCCATTGTAAATAAATAAATGACATTATAAATAAATAAATGGAATAAGTGTAATTTCTTAACTTATATTTTTATATTTCTAGGCAATTCTGCCTTGAACTAAATGGACTTGCTGTCAAACTTCAGGTAATACTTTGTGAAATCTATAACTGAAGATTCTGTTTTTTTTTTTTTTTTGTAATTTTAGGCTTTACATAGAAATGTTTTTAGCTCTTATAACCTTTTATATTATTACTTTACAAATTAAGAAATTAACTATTTTTAACAGAGTGAATGCCATCCAGATACTTGTACTCAGATGACAGCAACTGAACAATGGATTTTTCTTTGTGCAGCTCATAAAACTCCAAAAGAGGTGAGGATTTATGAAGTCTTATTTTGTCTAATAAAATCATTAACTAGCCTAGATTTTCTCAAGATACTGATAGACAACCTTTTAGATGTTTTAATTCACTGTTCACTTTTGCTTTTTTTTTTTCCCAATAATGGGGTCTTAGGTTTGGATTCAGGATGTCATGGTGCTTGGCAAGTACTCTACCAATTGAACAATGTCTCTGGCCCCACTTGTGATATTTTAAATAATATTTGTGTTGTTTTTCTTACTGAGTTTGTTGGGCCTGGCACTGTCCATTAGCTTTTTTGCTGAAGGCTAGTGCTCTACCCTTTGAGCTATAGCTCTACTTCAAGCTTTTTGCTGGTCAATTAGATACAGGAATTTCATGGACTTTTCCCCCAGGCTGGCTTCAAACTGAAATCCTCAGGTCTCAGCCCCACTCCTGGTCTTGGGGCTTGAACTCTGGGCCTGGGAGCTGTCCCTGAGCTCTTCAGCTCAAGGCTAGCGCTCTACCACTTGAGCCACAGCCCCACTTCCAGTTTTCTGGGGGTTAATTGGAGATAAGAGTTTCATAGACTTTCTTATCCAGGCTGGCTTTGAATCTCGATCCTCAGATCTCAGCCTCCTGAGTAGCTAAGATTACAGGCGTGAGTCACTGTGCCCAGCTTCTCAGTCTCCTAAGTAGTGAGGATTACAGGTATGAGCCACCAGTGCCCAGCTAACACTTTTTTTCTTTTTTCTTTTTGGCCTGTCCTGGAGCTTAAATTCAAGGTCTATGTGCTGTTCCTGAGCTTTTTTTTTGTTGTTGTTAGTGTACTACCACTTAGCCACAGCTTCATTTCCAGCTTTTTTGGTAATTATTTGAAGGTAAAAGCCTCATGGACTTTCTTACTTGGGCTAGCTTTGAATTACAATCCTCAGATCTCAGCCTCTTGAATAGCTAGGATTACAGGTGTGAGCCACCAGTGCTTAGCTAACAGTTTTTTCCTTTGCAATACTGTGTTTTAATTGTTGTTGTTGTTGTTTTTGGGGGGGGGTTGTTGGTTGTGGGCCTGAACTTTGGGCCTGGGCACTGTCCCTCAGCTCTTCAGCTCAAGGTTAGCCCTCTACCACTTGAGCGCCACTTTCGGCTTTTTCTGCTCATGTGGTGCTGAAGGATCGAACCCAGGGCCTCATGCATGCAAGGCAAGCACTCTACCACTGAGCCACCTTCCCAGCCCTGTGGTTTGAATTTAAAACCTACAGGAGCTCTGTCTGACTTAAGCCATACTCCAGGCCTGCTATGACACTATTTTAAGGTATATATTCTAATCACGAATTTGCATTTCTAAATACCAGCTTCAATCTCAGCACCTGAAAAATATTTTTAAAATACTGAGTAAAGCTAAAGTCATTTTTCTTCTAGTTGTGTGTGTGGGGGGGGGGGGGAAGGGGGCCCAGGGAGGGAGGATGGGAAGGGATGGGAAGGGGAAACAAAGCAGGAGGCTACAATGCTTGATAAGAAATGCACTCATTATCTTGCCCATGTAATTGTAACTCCTCTATACAGTATTTTCACAATAAAAAATAAATTAAAAAAATAAACTTTAATATATTTACTGATTTTCCCTGAGTTAGTATATTTCATGGTTTGTGATAAATGGAATAGGGTAAGACCAATTTATTAAATTTAAAGATACTTCAAATTTTTATGTTAAAATTTGAAAGATTTAAGAAGAAAGTTACTTAGAGTGCCAGATTGGTGACAGGTGCTAGAGGACAAAAAGGGGTGTTTGGGGATTTTTTTTGCTGGTCCTGGCACTTAAACTTGGCCTGGGTGCTGTCCATGAGCTTTTTCTGATTAGTTTATTGGAGATAAGAGTCTCACGGGCTTTCTTGCCCAGGCTGGCTTTGAACTGAGATCCTTAGATCCTAGCCTACTGAGTAGCTAGCATTAAAGGCATAAGCTACCAGTGCCCAGCAAAAAGGGGTGTTTTCTAGGCTGTAAGAAAGTAGAGGATCCTGGAGATAGTCATGAAGGGAAGGAGGCTTCCAATAGGCTTAGTGAAGCAATCAGTATATCTGGAATAGTCATTTTGAGTTCTTCCTACCTCTATGAATTTTTTTGCGGGGGAGGGGTTGGTTGTGTGGCTTGAACTTGGGGCCTAGGCACTTTCCCTGAGCTCTTTGTTCAAGGCTAGTGCTCTAACACTTTGAGCCACAGCGCTACTTCCAATTTTCAGATGGTCAATTGGACATAAAGAGTCTCAGACTTTCCTGCTCAGGCTAGCTTTGAATCATGATCCTCAGATCTTAGCCTCCTGAGTAGTAGGATTATAGATGTGAGCCACCAGCACCTAGCTCTAACTCCATGATCTTTTCTTTCTTTTTTTTTTTTAAGTCGTGGAGCTTGAACTCCAGGCCTGGGCGCTATCCCTTAGCTCTTTAGCTCAAGGCTAGTGCTCTACCACTTAAGCCACAGTGCCACTTCTGGCCTTTTCTGTTTATGTGGTGCTGCGGAGTCGAACCCAGGGCCTCATACATGTGAGGCAAGCACTCTATCCCTAACTCCATGATCTTGATTTAAGTCATTGACTATTCAAAGCCTCAGTTTCCTCAGTTATATAGTCAGAGGATTAGATTAGATAATTAGGTTCTTGGAGCTGGAGGTATAGCTCAATGGTAAAGTGCCTGCCTAGATAATTGGGTTCTTCTTACTTTAAACATTGTTTTCCTCTAGGGTTCAGTGTAGAATGAAACTGGGAGACTAGATGATGTTATTCTAATGTCTGATCTTATAGATTATTGGATAATGAAACTTTATTGATATAACATATTTTATAGTCATTCTGGAACTATAAGGGACTGCTTTTTATGGCTAAGGCTAAGCTCCTGTCTTTAGAATGAGATACCTATATCATAATTACAGCCTAATCTAAGATGTGAAACTTTGTTGATGGACTTTTTTTTTCCCTTCTCTAGTGTCCTGCTATAGACTATACTAGACACACACTTGATGGTGCTGCATGTCTTCTGAATAGCAATAAATATTTTCCCAGCAGGTAAACCAAACTTACAAACATAATATTAAATTCTTTGAGCTTCATTTGAAACTAATGTTAGTTTTGTTTTTGTTTATTTGCTGTTTTTGGGGCTTGAATTTAGCACCCGAGCTCTGTCCCTGAGCTTCTTTGTGTTCAGGGCTAGTGCTGTACCACTTGAGCCACAGCATCACTTCTAGCTTTTTCTGAGTAGTTTATTGGAGATAAGAGTGTCTAGGACTTTCTTGGTCTGGCTGGCTTCAACTGTGATCCTCAGATATCAGCCTCTAGAGTAGCTATGATTATAAGTATGAGCCACTGGTACCCAGCTAGCTTTTTTTTTTTTAAAGCAATGCTATAGGGCTGGGAAGGTAGCTCAGTGGTAGAGCGCTTGCCTTGCATGCCTGAGGCCCTGGGTTCGATTCCTCAGCACCACATAAGCAAAAACGAAAAAAGCCGGAAAGTGGTGCTGTGGCTCACAGTGGTAAAGCGCTAGCCTTGAGCTGAAGAGCTGAGGGACAGTGCCCAGGCCCAGAGTTCAGGCCCCATGACCGGACCCAAAAAAAAAAAAAGCAATGCTATAATTGGCTTGTTTAAATTATTCAAGTTTTGAAATTAGGATTGTGGTTAAACTTGGCTTCCAAAGTTCATAGATCAAAGTTGAGTCAAAGCTAGTCACTGATACTATGTGCCATGCCCCATTTTTCTCCCTCTCCGGTGCCAGTGGCTCATACCTGTAATCCCAGGTACTCAGAAGGCTGAGATCTGAGGATCATGGTCCAAAGCCAGCCCAGGCAGGGAAGTCTGGGAGACTCTTTTTTTTTGGGGGGGGG